GTATGTCTTCTTATCAGCTTGTCCCGGGTCTCATGGGCGGGCTGCGCGCTCGGGATCTGAACACATCCCTTACATATTATTTGAAAAAGTAAAGGAAGAATAAATTGACACCAACTACAGGGATTTCACCACCACATTAAGAGATACGGAGAACTGGACCATTGGTGAAATCCACCCATATAACATCATAGTGTGTACTAAACTATATTGGTTTATTCCAGCTTGTATATATTATCAATTTAAGTGTGTATATATCATCAATTTTTCTAATTTTTCTAACTTTATAGTATTCCACAACTAATGAATTATACTTAATTAATTAATGATTTATTAAATTCAGCAATGAACTTTATCTTGAATTTCTGAGTGCAGTATCATTTTTTTATTTTGTATATTTTGAGGTATTTTGGCCACCTCGATACTTTGCACTAACACGGATAAAAGAGTGCCTGTACATAGTATTTTTTTGTAGACAGTGAAGATTTAACCCAATAACAAGCAATTTTGGCTTTTATTAAATTAGAGCGGATCACGTTTATCGGCTCCTAAAAAGCCATTTATTGGTTTGTGTCACTTACATTACTGCCATTTGATGCATATCGGGAGACAAATATTGGAAATGTAGGCTTCTCTGATTTAATTTAATTTCACATATAATACCCAATAAATGGCCTTGTCAAATTCAGCATCTAAAAACAGTGGATATCGGTTTGTTTGTTTTTGGCAGCACTAGAATCCCGCGGGACAGACAGTTAAAAAAACCAAACAAAAAAAACCTGCACGGGTTAATATGACCAATATGATCTCAAGAAATTTTTTAAAAATCCATATAACCCCTCACACAAATTCAAGTTAAGGGTTCCAGCCAGTCAATCTTAAATTTTTTCTTCAGCCTCACAAAGGGTCAAATAAAAAACAAAACAAAAATAACAAAGGGATTAAAAACTATTCCATATGGGCCAATTAAGGCCTATGCACAGAATGAGTTTGCATGGCAGGAAAAGCCGGTGCCGTTCTATGCAATCTCAGTCAGAACATTCCCATTGGTTGGCTTGTAGGCTCCCCCAAGTTATTATATTATAACCCCTGTATACCACTCCTGTGTTGGTGCTAGGTGGGACACTAGGCCTCCACACAGTAACTATATACTATATATTTATTATAGTAAAAGAAAACAGTTACTTGTGCAATCTCCCAAATCCCTATGCACATTTATATAACTAGAAACTTTTTAGCATCACTCCAATAGAGATTTAGGTGTACGCTCACCTGCCATGTCAAGGAAAAACCTCCTAGGTGAGTCCTGCACTAACACCGAACCTTACTGCTGTTCAGCCAAGTTATCTTTTCTTATGCCAACAAATCACATCTATGGGATGTAGCATTCTTCTGTGTTCAGAAGTTAGTTGTGGCAAACGTGCCTAGACCACGTGCTCATGGATGAGCCTGCAAGCTGGCCTCCTACCCACGGAATATGATCCATATCCAAAAACCCTGTTCTGGAGTTAAACCTCCCCAGCTACCATTAGCAGCTTTCCCTGGGTGACCCTGTTTCTGCACTTTCCCTTCATTCGAGTGGAACCGAACACTAACTCCCTGACAGCCGTTCGCATGAAAAAAAACATGAATTGTCCTCAGCTGTACTTAGCCACGATCGTTATGGAACTAAATTCGACATGAGGAGTTTGTGGGTTCCCGGTCACCTCAGCGCGACTTAGCCGTGAATGTTATGGAACAGTTTTGGGTATAGAACCATGTGTGCGGCCGGTCAGAACCTTAACACGATGGCGTTTCCCCTACACTGCATGGATTTGAGCGCTATTTGGAGAACTTGGGCGCTCAGATCAGGGCTATTTGGGGGTGTATTATTTGTGGGGTTATTTTATGTTTTTACTAGGTTTTGGGGTTACTTTTATGTTTTTATATTTTTGTGTTTGGCTCTCTGTTCCTGGGAGATAATTAGCTTACCGGTCTTTAATGCTATTATCTCCCAGGCACAGAGATTTAGGAGAGGGGTTTGTCTTGTATTGAATGGAGGCCCCATGCTGGTGGCTGTGTATAAAAGCAGGCAGCTTGGCCATAATAAGCCGGTTCCTTTACAACCTTCACTCAGTCTCGACTAGTGTTTGGGTGTACCAGCTATACAGCTATACGCTCGGCAGGAGAGCTTTAACTACTAGAAGTTGAATCCAGGACCCTGTTCTAGGGTAGGAAGTGAAGACGAGACCCCGGCAAAGCTGCGGCGACTAGGGGCTGGAGTGCTGATGGTGTCCCACCGATAGCTAGGGAGTGTGCTTGGCGGAGGTACCAGGAGGTCCGCCACATTAGTAATAATTGAATTTGTCAATTTATTCTGTCCTCCTTTCCGGTCAGATAAAGGAGTCCCAAACCTGAGCATTAGGAGCTTAGAGAGAATCTTGGAGGTTAAACTGTCCATTACGAGAAAATAGCAACCATCTGCATCAGTAACCAGTATACCAGAACCAAAAATAAATAGCTGCACAAAATAAATACCCATTTGTAAGAGAATTATACATTTAGTTACAATTTTCCTCCATGAAAATGATCTTGTTTACAGTAAGAGAACAAACACAAACAGTAATGTTCTCTAATATAGAATAACAGTTTGTGAACTTTGTACAGTATCCTCTTTTTTTAAATTTGACAATTTGTATTAGTTTTTAGACAGATAAAACAACATTGGGGCGGGATACAGAAGGAAAGAAGAGAAGTGGGGGGGAGGGGAATGAGTTTTGTCTAGAGAATCAAGATGACAGCACTTACCGATATGCCAATGGTCATGTGCATACAAAGGCTTTTAGGCCGTAGTGCTACATTAGTGAGATTTCCTAGGTACAATATGCGGAAGGACATTGCGTAGTACAGTCTCCCTTATTTGGGGTGTGCCAATCTCCATGTGTCCCAGGTTGCTCACACTGCTAATGTTATCTGGTTAGGTGGGCATATATTGATAAAGCAGCGTTCATAGATCCTTTGGTCGTCTAGTTCAGATTGTACAGATGGGATGCGTTGGGATTTCCAGTCTTGTGCTATTAGGCGTTGAGCTGTTAGGGCCGTATGGAAGACTATCTTTTGAACATATTTGGGTATATCTGAGAGAATGTGCAGTAACAGATATGTGAGTGGGTCGTAGGGCAATTTAATGTTTGTGAGGTCTTGTATAAATGTCCGTATGGACTCCCAAAAGAGTTAGATCAGCAGACATTGTCACCATACATGCAGTACGGAGCCTACATTCGATTTACATCTGCAGGTCGGAAGGCTGGAGGAAAATAGTTTGTGAAGCCGTTTAGGTACCATGTACCATCTATATAACATTTTCTTATTTTGTTCAAGGAGTGTGGCGGATTTGATAAGTGTCATAGGGATGGTGATTATAGCGCTCCACTGTTCTTGAGTGAGCTTGCTTTTTAGATCTGTTGCCCACTGTTTCGCTGGAGCGGCTTCTGATAGAGATTTATGTTCTAACAGTAATCGGTAACACATTCGTTTGGATTGGATTGGTTTACATAGTGAAGGCAAGTGTTTGTTGATACATATATTTTCCCATACCGTGGGGTTGTCAGCGGTCGTTTGGTGTAGGGGACCCTGTATGTCGTTTTTGTGTAAAAATAGTGCAATTGCCTGTAGGAAAAATGTGATGTTTGCGGAGTACCATGGGTTGTCTGGAGGGTGTGGATGTTTTACTCTGTGCCCTTGAGTAGAAGTGGGTCAAGTGGGTAAGGCCTTTCTCCTGCCAGGGCTTAGCATGAAAGGCGGGAAGGCAGTACATGAGAGCTAGTGTGGGGGTTGCCCAGGAGATTTGATTGCTGCTGCTCAGCCTAAGTCTATGTGTATCCCATACCTGCATCAGCAAGGATATCTGGGCTGGTGTTATGTGCAGAAGGGGTCTGAGGGATTTAGGCAGTAGTAGTATATGGGGGAGTTCATATGGTTCCATCAGTTGTCTTTCCATTTTTACCCATTTGGGGGGTAGGGGGATTGATCTACGAAGTGTGGTATGGCCGATGCTAGTATGGATTCGTAGTAGTAGGTGTGAACATCTGGGACTGCAAGGCCTCCTGTCCTAACTGGCGCTCTCAGGAGTTTCATGGATACTCAGGGTTTCCCTCCCGCCCAAATAAATTTGGTTATATCTATTTGGACAGTTTTGAAGTAGGACTGTGGCAAATAGAGCGGTGGTGTTCGAAAGACGTACTGTAACCTTGGGAGTATGGACATCTAATTTTTTATTTTTTATATTTTTTATTTTTGCCATGCATAAAATTTTTTAACATACAATTACGAGGTACCCCAACGGCAATCCTCGAAGCAGATATCACATGTTACATTTGAGGTGTCGCGTGAGACATGCACAATTTTATAATATTGGGGATAGGAGTAAACATGAGTATGACAAGAATTTACATATATGCTAGTGTGTTTTCCAACGGTTAATAAAAGAGATGACATTAGTGTGTCGTATGGGTATTAAAGGCACAGTAAGTAGATTTACTGATTATTAGGCAAGCCTAGGTAACATTCTACTGTGTTATGGAAGCTGGTTTAGATGCATGCCTTCTGAGTGTGTTAAAAAATTTAAACGATATGCTATACCTAGAAGTTCAGTGTAACGACACAAATAATGCAGGTATACACCACTAGCTATATAAACAGGCTAGTGCAGTTAGATTATATAGTGACATACAGGCTAGGTCTAGGTAGGTCGCTTTAATCGAGTATTCACCCTGGTTGATCATGGTTGCCCAAGCTGTCTCAGTGAGGAGGGCCATCAACATGAAGGTCTCGGGGTCTCACAGGCTGGGGGTGAGCGGGGGGAGTCCATTATTATCCGATACCTGCTCTGCTTTTTCTGAGTAGCAGGGAGTGAGTGTCCGTTAGGGCAGGCCTCCGGGCATAGTCCAGCCATGCTGTGCTGCGGGTGTCTCACTGAGATCCCTCGGGTTGCAGCCATGATGTGGTGATGATGCTCCTTTTAGTCATCTGGGGGCTGGTGTCAGCCATAGTATGGAGCTTGGTGCCGTCTGCCAGGGTTTGCTGCTTTCTGGGTCGACCAGTTGCAGGCTGGGTGGGAGGAGAGGTCGATCTCCCTGCCGGGATATTCCGGTTGGCGGCAGGCTCGATCCCCCCAAACGGTGACGTACGTTGTAGTTCCCTCTCCCCAGTGCAGCCGTTGGCATCGCTGGTGTGAGTGGCTGTGGGGGTAGGTGAGGATTTTCCCGACGCTCTGTATGGCAGGATCGGAAGGCAGGAGCCGCGGTGTCCCCTGTGAGCACGGGGAGAGAGCCGGTCATCCTCCTGCCTCCCACGCACATGGCACCCGCCATCTTGGATGCAGCGGTTGGGCCCCCCGGCTTCAGTTGCAGTGTCTCGATCAGGGCTACAGGGTGAGGACCGGGATCACCCCCACCGGTCCACGGGGGGGGGGGGGGTTGGAAACAGGGCCGGATGCACTCGGATTTGTGCCTCTGGCTGGGTTCTGTGTAGCAGGACAGTGGGGCAGCGGCCATCTGCCCCACTCACCACTGGAGAAGACCTCAGTTGGGGCAACGAGAATTTCTCCTCCAGGGGACTGAAGCGCGATGAGCCAGCCTCTCCCTGGATCCAGTAGTCCTTCTGGTCAGGGCACCATTGCCGTCGGTCTACTTTGAGATGGAAAGACAGGGTCAGGTTTTATTTTGCTTAGTGGTTATGGCGATTTGGCTATGGCAGTCTAGAAGCTTAGTAAGGTGTTGTTTCTTTAGGAAGGAGGAGCATCTTATGAATAGTCCCCGCACTACTGCTTTGTTTGCTTACCAGAGTGTAAAGTCTGAGATCTCTTCACCCACATTTGTTTTAAAGTATTAGAGAGAGCAAAAAAACAAATAGCAAGAAAGTGTTGAGATTGGACAACAGCTCAATTAGCCTGCACTTTTGTGGGTCCCAGCTCAGTTCTCCAGCTGATTTTAGCTCATCTTGTGCCATTACAGAGAGAACCAGGCCATGCATCTCAGACTGATTCCACCCAAAAGGGCAGAACAGATCCAAAATACAGGCTAGCTCTCTCTGCACTAGAAGTATAAGAACCCCAGATGATAATTTCAACCTGGTTAGGCATCATCAGTGAGGTATAGACAATATCCCTCTAGGCACTGTGAGCAAGGGGTCCACATCTGGATCCATGAACAGATCCATTGGGTAATTGTTGAGTTCTGTGGGAGTAACCGTCTCCGGTATCCCACGGATACGAATATTGTTTCTCCTGGACATATCTTCGAGGTCTGCTAGCTTAAGCCTGTAGGAGTTGAGACCAGTCTAAAACTCCTTAACCTTATACGCCAAGCTATTGTGGGCCTCTGCGAAATAGTCCATCTTGTGTTCAATTTGAGGCTTGTGCTGGCCTACCTCTGTGATATCTTTACGGAGCTCCAATGCCATTGCCTGCAGCTGCGTTTTCATATTTGCCTGTAAGGTTTCAGTGAGCTCAGCCAATATATGACGCATGGTGCTCGCGGTGAGGGGCCTTTCCTCTGAGATATAGCCTGGGGAGGCCGGGGGGATAATGACCATTCTCTGGATCGGGCTTCACCTCCATCTTTAGGAGGGCTGCGGCTTTACCACGGTTTTATTCAGAAGAAAGATGCCCATTCTGCTTTAGCTGCTTTCCTTTTTTGTCCCTGCGACATGGTACACTTTTTTATGTGTTTTAATGCTCAATAGACCAATTATTTATGCTCCTGGGCAACTGAATATCGGGAGCTTCACCAACGTGCATCCATCCAGTTCAGGCACCAAACCATGCCCCCAGATACCCTTTTAATGGATAGTAATGAAAGTGCTACATAACTACATCTTGGGTTTAAAGTCTTCTTTCCATAGATTATAATTACGATAGTGCCAACATATTCCATAGCGCTTTACAATAGTATAAAAAGGGGAATTACAAAATGTTACAGTTACAAAAGGTTGATGAGGACCCTGCTCATAAGTTTACAATGTAGAAGAGGTGGGGTATAATAACATAAAAGGGAGGGTAGTGTGGAGATTCATTCGTACCCGCTACATTGGAAGAGGTTTCTGCTTTGCTCCAGTCCTCCCACCCCGCCACCTGCTCCCTAGATCCAATTCACTCACATCTCATCCGTACTCTGTTTTCTTCTCTTTCCCCACCTCTCAATAAAATTCTCAATCTCTCTCTCTCCTCTGGTATATTTCCAGCGCCCTTCAAACATGCAACTGTAACCCCAATTCTAAAGAAGCCCAATCGTGACCCTAACTCCCCATCCAACCATCATCCTATCTCGCTACTGCCTTTTGCATCCAAGATCCTTGAAAGAATCGTGTATGCGAGATTGACAGACTTCCTCAAATCCAACTCTCTGCTACACCCGCTTCAGTCTGGTGTCCACGCTACGCACTCTGTGGAAACAGCACTGACCAAAGTATCCAATGATCTACTCACTGCAAAATCTCGTGGTCACTACTCTATCCTAATTCTCCTTGACCTGTCTGCGGCTTTTGACACTGTTGATCATCAACAGCTTCTTCTCATCCTCCCCAATATCGGTCTACAAGATATTGCTCTCTCCTGGTTCTCCTACCACCTCTCCCAGCGCTCTTTCAGTGTTTCTTCCTCTGGCTCTGCTTCTTCTCCCCAACTTCTCTCTGCTGGTGTCCCCCAAGGTTCAGTCCTTGGTCCCCTACTGTTCTCCATCTATACTGCCTCCCTTGGTAAACTCATTAGCTCCTTTGGCTTCCAATATCATTTCTATGCAGATGACACGCAAATCTATCTGTCCTCTCCTGATCTCTCCCTGTCCCTCTTGACTAGTGTCTCTGACTGCCTCTCTGCTTTTTCTAACTGGATGGCTGCCCACTTCCTTAAACTAAACTTGACCAAAACTGAAATTCTGGTCTTTCCTACCTCGAGTGTTGTTACTCCTGTATCTTTCTCCCTCCAAGTCAACGGTGCTACCATCAGCTCCACCACGCAGGCTCGCTGCCTGGGTGTTCTCTTTGACTCCGACCTCTCCTTCAAGCCTCATGTTCAATCTATCGCCAAATCCGGTCATTTCCATCTCAAAAACATTGCGCGCATCCTCCCCTACTTAACGCCAGATGTGACTAAGGTGTTGGTCCATTCCACTGTCCTTTCTCGCCTTGACTTCTGTAATCCACTTCTCAGTGGTCTTACAGGCTCCCAACTTGCGCCGTTACAGCCCATAATGACTGCGGCAGCGAGATTCATCTTCCTGTCCGTCCTCACCTCCCATGCCTCACCCTTCTGTCAGTTCCTACATTAGCTTCCTATAAAATATAGAGCTCAATTTAAAATTCTGGTTCTTGCTTTCAAATCTCTACATAATGCTGCTCCCACCTATCTATCCTCCCTTATACACAAGTATGTCCCGTCTAGGCCCTTACGATCTGCTGAAGACTTACATCTATCTTCTGTCTGTACTCTCACCTCTGATGCTCGCTTTCAAGATTTCTTGACGGCTGCACCGTTCCTGTGGAACTCGCTTCCCTCCTCCGTTAGATGCTCACCCAGTCTCCACTCCTTCAAAAAATCGTTAAAAACCCACTTCTTCATAAAAGCATATCAATTAAACTGTTAATAGCTCCTGACTGATTCCTCTTCTGCAACTGTCACTAGTCTAATACTATCCTTACCTTTTTGTGTCATTTTACCCCACTCCCTCTAGCATGTAAGCTCATTGAGCAGGGCCCTCAACCCCTCTGTTCCTGTGTGTCCAACTTGTCTGGTTACAACTACATGTCTGTTCGTCCACCCATTGTAAAGCGCTGCGGAATTTGATGGCGCTATATAAATATCATAATAATAATAATAGCAACCAAACGACACGGTGGGATGTAGCAGAATCGAAGGGTGAGAGTGGAGTGTGGCCCTTTACAGAAAGCGAGTGATTGTTTTTTGAATTACAGGTTACTATGGGAGGCATAAGCCATTCTGAAGAGATGGGTTAGATCGACTACTTAAATGATTGAAGTCTAGGGTAGAGTCTGATGGGAGTAGGCAGGCTGTTACAGAGTAGGTTGCACAGTTAAACAATCCCACAAGCAACATCCCCTCCACACACAAAGTCTGCAAGCAGCATCCCTATCAAAGGCAAAATTCCCTCATATTAGCCCCTCTACAAACAGCTTTCCCAGGAACACCTAACACCCCCCAGATAGCATACCCACCACAACCTCACAAGCAGTCTACAAATTTATACAGCACCCCAGGCAGCCTCCCTGCATTCACTTTGAATTCCAAAATATGACAATTTCACAAGACTTATGTTTTCCGTTTGGTTTAATGGCTTAGCTATTTATGTTAAAGTAAATAAATATATATTTTCTTAATTAGAATAGGTTTTAATTTTATGGATTGCTGCACAAACTAAAATCTGAGAAGGAGGGATACGTTTAGACGACTGCTGTAATGTCTATGGTTCCAAGAATGATCTAGTGGCATCCCAGGGTAACCTGACAAACAATTTTAGCATGGGTTACTATTTTAGGAAAGACATCCAAGTGAGAACGAACATAGCGCAATAAGTCTCGATACACTGAGTTACATTCAAACTATATTTAGGGAACAAGTTATAGCTGTACCTTGTTCCCTAAATAAAGTCTATTTTTGGATGCTACGTGGTGCCCAGGTTTTCTCTTCTCACAATTCCCTAGGGTCCGATAGGGTGTCCATTTTCTCCTGCAGGAAAATCAGCTTAGCTCCACTGAGATAAGCAGCGCCATGAAGGATGTCAGTTGAGTGCTCCCAGCCAAAGAGTGCAGTCCTGGATTAGCCATGCCTAGTTTAACAGAGCCATCCGTCTCCTCCTACAGGAGACGACTAGATGTGCCACGGGCACTTATCTAAAAGAGTTTTACTATTCATGCCGGAAGGGCACTAGAGCACTCTTGGCATCAGTACAGTGGGATATACTGGTTATAGTGTATAGAGTGCCCCTTTAATAAAGGATATTTATAATAAAATAAAGTCCTACTTCAGTGAGACATTGGGCAAAACGGGATTTGAACACTTAAGTATATATTTTTTCCTATTAAAACATTGACACAGTCTTTCTTTCTTGTTATAAGCAATCTCACATTTAAATAGCAGTCTATGAACTCCGTTAGTGCAACACACGATGCAGTGCATCTCTGATACTAAAATGGTTAAAACTCAAGTCATCTTATGGTAAATTGGTGACACCGAAAACAGCCTTGTTTGTCCCATTTGCTGCTCATTTAACTGAGGAATATTGTTTATGTTTATAGTCTGGATTTGTGTTTCTGTGTAATCTTTGTTATCAGTGACAGCAATCCCAAGTCATGTCCG